CACTCAGGCAGCTACTGGCTGCTAAGACTAACAAGCCCAAGGTCAATACATAAAATGGCACAGTCTCAATGTTAACAAACCACACTGTAGGCCATTGATTCAAGTCCATCGAAAGTCCCAGGATCGGCAGAGCATGGCAGGCTGCTGAACAACGACTCGGCTACATGCAGAGTTCAAGCATGCCATAAGTTAGAGACCATTCCCACCACTGTTTATTATATACGGGAAACAGACCACACACCCAAAGGCAGCTACTCAGCTGTTCACAGTAGATTCCACCATGAGTGGGTGAGAGGAAGACCAGTTACAAAGCTATTACAGCACTCTGAGTGAGAGAATGACTGAATCAGTGAGGTGGCAGTGTATGAAGAAAAGTGGTTTGATTCAAGACATATTTAGAAGGTAAAGGGGTGAAGGGTCCTAACTAGGTCTTGAGGAAGATAAAGTATAAGGATGACACTGAGGGAAAGGTCACAAAAGTGAGGATATCTTACTTTGGGCATCCAGAAACATATCAACTTCACCTAGATTCTGCTCACCTCTTCCTGTCCTTTCTTCTATGGATCCCAGGCACAGTCACTAGACTCAAAATTTCTGAGTCATCCAAGAGTCTCTTTTGGCCTTGGACCCAATCCTACCCACTCACTCCTACCTACCCTAGTCACCCTTCATTTAGATCAATATTTCTCAAAGTATTGTCCTAGAGGGGGCCTCTTGAGAAACCATAAAATGATCCAGAAATGTAAGTCTTTTCTTTGGCTCCTACAGGAGAATGAAAAAATTCCAGGCTTTTTTTTTTTTTTTTTTTTTACGGTAACCAACTGAGTTATAAAGGGGTACTAAAACTTGTTAGTCATAATCTAAAATTAGCCTTTAACTGGAGTTCATAGAAGACTCTAATTCAGTTCTGTACTCAGAGATCTGGCTGCCAGGCAATGTTTGGCAATGTTGCAAAGCTTTCCTGCACATGTACACACATAGCCAGTTGGAATTCTCTCAATTTTTGGGAAGGACATTTTGTTATTGAGGCATTACCAGTGATGTTTTGAGCTGGTCATGGTTTATGATGCCTGACATTCATGCATTTTAATGACAAATTATGATTAACAGAGCTCCATCATGATCAATTTAATTTACCATGGGTTACTTGATTAACCAGGAGCCCTAGTGGCACAGTAATTAAGTGCTCAGCTGCAAACTAAAAGTTGGTGGTTCAAACTCACCAGATGCTCCATAGGAAAAAGATGTGGCAGTTTGCTTCTCTAAAGATTTACAGCCTAGGAAACCCTATGGTGCAGTTCCACTCCGTCTTACAGGGTTGCTATATAGATTCCACAGCACTGGGTTGGTTGGTTGGATTTGATTAACTCTATGGGATAGGGGAAGGAGCTCTGGTGGCATAGTGCCTAAGGCATCTGGCTGTAACCAGCCACTCCATGGAAGCAAGACTAGGCAGTCTACTTCCATAAAGATTTACCACCTCAGAAACCCAATGGGGTCACTATGGATTGGAATCAACTCCATGGCAGTGGGTTTGGTTTTTTTTTATGAGATAGGCAGATGCACTGTTCTAGGCTTACCTCCTACAGTTCCCCTCTCCCTTCCTTTCTGATCCAGCTAATGTATAGTAGGCTCTCACCTCAGGGACTTCACTTGCTATGTCCTCTGTCAGGAATCCATTTTCCCTCAGACAGCACATAGCTGTCTCTTTCATTTCCTTCAGGTCTTTGTTCTAATGTCACCTCTATCACCACCCTATTTAAATAATAACATACTTTCTCACTCTACTTCCTAGTTCCTTCCCCTGCTTTATTTTTCTCTGGGCACCTATCACCATCTATTATTCTGTATTTTATTTATTTGTTGACAATTTACCTCCAAGTGAAAGGTAAGCTCCATGAAAGCAGTGATTTTTGTTGGTCTTGTTGCTAAATCACCAATACTTTGAACAGTACGTGGCACATAGTAGGTGCTCAACACATAACTGTTTAATGAAAATGAATATTTGCATCATCAGTATTTTTGATCTCTTAATTTCTAATACCTAGCTCTCAAGAAAAAGGTACACTGTGGTTCAAACTTGAATCATTCCTAGGCCTACAGTAAATGCATACATAAACATGAATCCAGAGAACATGTTTATACATTGACATTTCCCTGTCACTAGTCTTCCCATCCCGGGCTTTCCCCTTCCTATCTTTCAAACGTATCAAGATCAAATTTCCAAAGAAGAGTGTTCTGGTTACCTAGTACCACTCTGACAAAAACATACCACAAACAGGATGGCCTTCACAAACAGGAGTTTATTCTCTTACAGTTTGGAGGCTTTAAGTCCAAGTTCAAAGTGCCAGGCTCTAGGGGCTGGGTGAAAGCCCTTCAAGCTTTGGGCTTCAGCTCTGCCTCCAGCTCCCAGGCCACTGAAGCTAGAGACTTTTCTTCACTCAGACAGCTGCTGGCTGCTGAGGCTGAGAAGCCCAAGGTTGACAAGTAAAAAGGCACAGTCCCAATGTCACCAAACCACACAGCAGGCCATTAATTCAAGTTCACTGTAAGTCCCAAGGTCGGCAGAGCATGGCAGGCTGCTGAACAAGGACACAGCTACATGAGGGGTCCAAACATGCCATAAGCTCAAAACCATTCCCAAAGCTGCTTCTTATATACGGGAAGCAGACCACCTACCCAAAGCAGCTACTCAGCTGCTTGTGGTAGATCCTACCATGGAGTTGACTGCTCGTCTCATCATGGGGAAAAACTACCACCAGCTGCCCAGCCACTCAACCAGGCCCAGCCAAGTTGACACACAAACATAACTACCACAAAGAGCTAAGGGCATTCAGGATTCATATTCATTTTCTGAGAATTTAATATACCAGGCATTGATAGGTACAAGGAACTCAACAATGAAAGAGAGAGATATGATACTTACTATCACAGAATTTGTAGTCTAGTGGGGACATCACCCATTTTGCCTCCAGAAAGGGCACTTAATCCCTTGTAGGAGAATATGATAGCCAAGCTGAGACTAGAAGTACAACTAAGAGATGAAGGAGAGATGGGGGAGGGGAGACACAGCAGGTGGTAGCAGATAGAAAAGAATATACCAGGCAGGCAGAGGAAACAGCAGTTTTAAAGGCCCAGAAGAAAGAGTATAGGTATCACTTTCTAGGAAGTGAGGGCAATTCAGTGTGCTGTGGTAGTGAACTTCCACGAGCAATGAAGAGAACTGAAGTAGGGTAGATAGCAAAGGCTAGTCCATGCAGGAACTTGTAGGCCGTAACAAACAACTTGGACACTGGGGACTTTATCCTGAGAGCAAGAGAAAGCCACTGAAAGGCCTGATCAGTGGAGTGACATCAACCACTGAAGTTTAAATTCCTGTCCCCTGACAAACCCAATCTTGACCTTCCTCTCCATTGCAGGCATCGAACTCCTACCTATTTCCTCCCTGAAGCCTTTCTGCTCAAACCTACATGCCTCTGTCCCTCTCAGATCCAGTAATCCCATTTTCCTTTATCTTTGTGTGCCTGTAGTCTGTCTCCCTCTTTGAGCTCCCAGAAGACAGGGACAACTTCTCAAACACCTCTAGGTTATCCTCCGCCCAACTTAGCATTGACCCAAATTCACTGAAATAAGAGCATAATGAACACAATCTAGGACAACTCAGCCTTTTCTCCACTCTGCACGTCAATATTGATACCCTATCTGAACAAGCTCTCCCTCAAGGAGGCAATGCAGGGCCAGTTATGCCAAGTTTCTCTGCTTCCTGTCAGCTGTCACCTCTCTCTACTCTCAGGGCAAATATCTCTAATGTCTCTCCTAATACTTCTCTAATGTCTCTTTTATTGGGTGGGGAAAATAAATCCCCAAGATTGTTTAAACTTCAAGTGCTAGAAATGGCAAATCTAACCTGTTGCAACAGAAAGATTAGTGGTTACCTGGAGCTGGAGGGTGGAGGGTAAGGGAGCTAGCTGACTGGCATAAAGCACCAGAGAACTTCCCAAGGTAATTTAAGTGTCCTATAGCTTGAGTGGGAGCTCTGGTAGCATAGTGCCTAAGGCACTTGACTGCTAACCAGAAGGCTGGCGGTTCAAACCCACCAGCCACTCCTTGGAAGGAAGATGAGGCAATCTACTTCCGTAGTGATACTGCCTCAGAAACCCAAGGAGGGGTCGCTATGAGTCAGGTCTGACTCGATGGCACATAACAACAACAACAACAACATAGCTTGAGTGTGGTGGTGGTTACAGAAGTATAAAATTTGTCCAAACTTGTCAACATGTAAAAAACTAAAGCGATCCATTTTATTGTATTTCAATCAGACCTCAAAAATGTTGACTTTTTAAAAAAATTGTATGTAAACTCAGTAGGCCTAAGCACAGCACACGAGACTGAAAACACAACTCGACATAAAACTTGGGCATAGCGATATGGGAATAAGAGACCCCCAATGACGGCAAAAATCTAAGAAGGGCCCAAGAAGGTCATCCGGAGAGGAGTGGCCCGCCGGGTGTACGTTACCTGCCTACGAAGCTGTTTAGGGGGCATCTTCGTAGAAGCAGGAAGTACCTCAACCACTGGAGCACCTACAAAACGCCCCCTTGCTTGAGGACAAGAAGTTTGCTCGTCTCCTTGACAGTGTACAGGAAATCCGGACTCTCACTCTAATTCCTAGTCGTAGGGGTCCTTTAGGGACATCCGTCGTTGTCGTTCCCCGCGCCCCTGGAGGACAGAATCGGCTCCTCCCAGACGCGGTTACCCAGCAACCGACTGGCAGTCAAAGCGCAGGCGCTTCTGGCACCCCCTTCCGGCCCGGGGAGGAGGCGGGGCTGAGCGCGCGCGGATCCTCCCGCTCCACTATGCTCGGACCCCTCGGGAATAATGCGGTGAGCTCTCGGAACTCCGGAATGTGGGCGGGGTTGGGAGCCCCACAGACCCCGCCTCCTCATGAATAATTCAGGACCCGGGCGGTGTCCCGGACCCGGAAGTGGAGTTGCAGAGTCACCGCAGTGGCTGAGCTGCTGACAGGAGGCGGCGGCGGAGGAGGAGGCGAGGCAAAACCTGCGGCTCGACCTGGCCACAGCCGCTGTAGCTCTAGGCAAGCCCACGGAGCCACGCCGGCCTCAGCCCGCCTGCGAACCTTTCGTCTCCCGCCCATCCGCCGGGCCTCCTGCCCGCCGGACGAATCGCGGGCGGCCTAGTCTGCATCACTCGCCGGGCTCCTGGGGCCGCCGCCCCGCGCGGTCCAGTCGGCGTCCCCGGCAGCGCCCGGGCCCCCGGTCCACACGCCTGCCGGCACCATGATGGAGGAAATCGACCGGTTCCAGGTGCCCACCGCGCACTCGGAGATGCAGCCGCTGGTGAGGGGGCGGGCGGCGGGCTGGCCAGGGCCGGGAGGAGGCGCCGCGGAGGGCGAGGAGGGAATCAGGCCGTGGGAGCCGAGCAGAGGGGGCGCCATCCGATGGGGCAAAGAGAGGTGTGAAAATGCAGCATCGAGGGGACGTGTAGGCCAAGAATACTGTGGGAGAATACGCGGGGTGAGAGCTAAGGGGCCTGCAAAGGCGATGGGCACTGTCGGCGGAGGCAGGCCGAAGGAACCTCGGAGAGCGCCGTCAAATGGAACAGAGAGAAGCACAATGGTGCACTCCTTTGGTGGAGGCCCTTAGCGAGGGATGGCAAAGAAACTGTGATGGGACACCGCCGGCAGCAAGCCCGGGGTGCTGTAATGGGGAGAAGGTGGTGGGTAGGCGTTTAGTCCCAGAGGCCTGTGACGCTTGGGGTAGAGGAGGGGACCGGGGGCCCCGCGAAGCTAAGAGGAACTGGGAATCGTCGTGTAGAGGACAAGGGACCTGCCCGCCAGTTCAATGGATGTGGATAGAAACGCGGGGCTAGGGCCAGGTTAGTGGGAATTCTGTTCCTTTCCGGAGGAGGGCCCAGGCAGTTTGGAATGGGGTCCCGGAGCCAGCGAGGAGAGTACGCCGCGGCGAGATTGAGAAACAAGGGCGCGGAGGAGAGCGCTCTGGCACTAACCGGGTGGGGGCGGGGCCGGGCTGGAATTGCCTGTGCCCACCGGTTCCAAAGACCCCCAAGCCTCCTAGGCCTACGTGCTTGAAGTCCTTGCTGGGAGCCGATTCTGCCGCCTGTCCGATGTCCCGGCGTCTGGGAGGAATGATGTCATCGCTGCTGGCGCGGAGGGGATTGAGGGGGAGGGCGACGCGGGCGCACTGAGGCCAGGCCTAGGGGAGACCGTATTCGCTGGCCACCGCCCGGGGGGCTACCTGGCTGGCTGGTCCGCAGGGCGCTGGCGCGGGAGCGCGAAGGTCTAGTCAGCTAGTATAGAGAAAGGGAGAAGGGAGGGAGCATCCCAGCTCTGTTCGCATTTCCATCTCCTTCCCATGACGGTCGGAAGATTGGGCAGTCTACTTCCGTAGTGATACTGCCTCGGAAACCCAAGGAGGGGTCGCTATGAGTCGGATCCGACTCAATGGTAGTGAGTTTGTTTTTTTTTTTTTTTCCCTCTGGTGCCCCAGGAGAAGCTGGAAGAAGGCTGGGGCAGGCCAGGAACCTGAAAGTGCAGATGCCTTTATTCTCTGATCTCTGCTTGGATCTTGCAGAGTTCACCAAGTCCTGATGCTCTAGGGCTCCCTGAGCCTCCTCCTCACTGTGTGGTGTGGGGTGGCCGATGGTCCCTGTATTAGGCTAGGAGGTAAGGAACAAGTTCTACCCTTGAGTCTGGAGGCCCTGGCTGATAGATGTGCTTTATGGCTTCCTGGGCAAGTAACCTGCCTGTTCCAGCAGCCAGGATTGGCCTCAGCAAGAGCCCATGACCCACCCTAGGACACACCTTTTGGGGGATGGTGTAAAGAATCATGAACCACCACTAAGCAGGAGTTAAATAGCTATCCCCCTTCTTCTGTGATTACTTACACAGTTCTAGAAGCCAAAACAGTATACAATATTAAATTGGGGAGAGAGATGATGCAGAATTTCTTTCCTAGCCTGTTACCATCATTGGATTATTTGGAAGCCAGAGAATCCTGGAGGGAAGTTGGTGTCATGAACTTGCAGAGGAACCTTGGGCTGGACTAACAGAACTTTCCTTTCTGGACTCTCCTTCCGTCCACCCTGGCTTCTGGAACTAGATTGTTCTTCCAGTTCTGAGCATCTAATCAATAACCAAAAGAGAGAGTAGATGGAGGATGAGAACCAAGTGAATCAAAAGGAAGCAATGAATTGGTCCTTTTCTCCCATCTGGAGTTCCTGAGGTGGGAGGCAACAGTTGCCTTGGGGAAGAGGGGTCGGTAGGAATGGGTTCACTAAGTTGTGAGAGAACATGTTATTGCTTGAAGTCCTAAATGGTGGTATGGTGGGTAGTGACCCCAGAGGACTCCTTAGGTTTGTGCTTCTGGTCTATGTGGCCCTAGAGTAGCAGAAATGCTTATGAGCAAGGAAACATTTACCAGAAAAACTGTGGCTGCTACCTCGATTCTTTTCTTAAAGGCTAAAGGAGCCCTCCTCTGCAAGAGGATACTTTGTTAGGTTGAGTGAGAATCTTAAGGGAATGGCAATGTAGTCATTCCCCATTTGGGGGCCATAGACATTGCCTTGCAGATATCTGCCTTTTGAACCCTGTCTCCAGGCTGAAGTCTACAGGCAATCCAAAACTTCTCCTTAAGTGCCTTTTGTATCGTTGAGAACAGCAGCATTTCGTATGAAGTTTCCTCAGGAGCCTAAGCTTGATGCATCCTATTTCTCACACCCTTCATTTTGGAGCATGAGGGATCAAGATGTCATGTCACAGAGGTAAAAGGTCTAAGAGAGGGGCAAAGTGGCTCTTAAGTGATTTTTTTTTTTTTTTTTCCATTTTTAAATTGTGATTTGGGTGAAAGTTTACAGAGCAAATTCACTTTCCATACAGCAGTTCACATACATTTTGTCTCATGACATTAACTACAATTTACCCCAATGCAACAGCTGCCCTCCCACTTCTTCCTGATAGTTACCTCTTCCCTGTGTCCATCCCTCCATGCACTCCTGCCCCCTGAGCTGTCTTCCTGTGCATAAACAGCATGATTGTTCTCTCCAAGGAGTGTATCTACCTCAGGTAAATGTTCAACTCATATGCCTATCTTTTGTTTGGCTGGAAGCCACAGGTGTGGGTTTAATTCCAGACCTGAAGGGTAGCTAGGGGCCATAGTCTCAGTGGTTCCACCAGGCTCTAGCAGACCAGCAAACCTGGTCTCCCCCACTTTTTTTTTTCCCCAAATGATTTTGAGTTTTGTTCCACATCTCCCTCTCTATCCAGGATCTCCTACATAGATTCCCGTCCAAGTGGTTGACAGTGGTAGTCAGGCACCATCTATTTCTTCTGGTTTCATAGTCTATAGGCTGAGGATCGCATGGTGTATCTTTAGGGATATTTTGGTCGAGCATAGAAACTGGGGGCCCTGGGCTCAGGGTCAGCTGTGATTGATTTCATTTTGGCTGTTATTTATTTTGTTGATACCTCTAGAAAGGCTCTCCTTTTTCCAGTTCTTTTCAGTTTTTCTGTTTATGACATGAAGACAAACTATCTCTTTAAACAACAGCTCCCCTATTTTCCCTCCAAAGGATATTATGGGGACCTGATACCACTGATTCATCAAATAGATTCACCAAATATTTATTGAGCATCTGCTCTGTTCCATATACTACACAAGGTGTTGGGGACACAATGGTTAGCAACACAGATGCAGATGTGGCTTACATATCAGGGGAAGTTTATTTCTTTTGCTCACGCCCTCAGCGTGAGTCCCCTTGAACACAAGGTAGGGGCTGCCTCTTTAAGCCGTAAAGGAAACAGTACAATGCTGGTGTCAGTATCATTGCCCTTTTTTGGACCAAGCTGTATGGATAGAGTTCTGTCATAAGGCTCCATCATGAAATAGCCATCCCTCCACCCATGGTGGTGGGAAGCATCCACAAGCCATTCCTTACTTGGAAAGATGAACTCCAGGGGGAAAACATCTTTATTTTATTATTATTATTATTTACTTAAAAGAGAAACTCAAGCTTAAAAAGGAGGCGTAGGGGAGTGGTAGGAGTTGGGAGAGAAGGCACAGCCAGCAGATCTGGGTGTTTCCAGGCTGCTAATTTAAGCATTAGTTCTCAGCTAGTGGGAGGAAGAGGAAGAGATCCCTGCCCTGTTGTTGCTGCTCCTGCTGCCACAGCTGCATGGAGCCTCCTGTCTGGAGTGGGAGTTTGCCTGAAGGGAGTTGCCTCTTTTCTTTCCCCATCACACCAATGACTTAATTGGCCTAGCTGCATCTCAGCAGCTGAACCAGGCCTGGACCTATCCCTGAAAGCTCCCCAGGGTCTCTTCCTGAAAGGAATGAGATCTCCTCTTGGAGACTGATTACCTGGGCTCCACTCCTGCTGAGTCTATCTCCCAGACAATTCTGAGTGTTTCTAAGCAGAGATTCTCTCAAAGAAACTGACAGGGATCCGCAAACTTTGTCAGCTTTTGCAAGCCATACACCTCATGATCTAGGGAAGCTCTCAGCTGTCCAACATTCTGTGTTAAGCAATTTGGTTGAGTGTGGTCTGTTGTAGTGTCTGTATTGCGTGTCGGCTAAACTGGTTGGTGCAGCTGCACAGCCTGTGTCTTCTCTTTCAGCTGCAATTGGAAAGGAAGAGATTTGTTACAAGAAAAACAAATGGAGCTGTTAAGTACTTAATTGTCTCAGGCAAAACCCTGCCTCCTGTGCTCTCAGAGACCAAAGAAACTTAAAGAATGGCACCTGGCACCTGGCGGAGTCTCTGCATGCCTAAAAATGCAAGTCTGGGCTTACCGAAACTCAAGTTATCTGTTAACTCTCATTTGGTTAGTTCATGAGCAGTTGCTGTGTATCTACTTAGTTCCAGGCACTTTGAGGACACAGAGACAAGTGAGATCTCTCCAGTGGGTAGATAGGAGAAGGATGGACCCAAATGGCTACAGGAAGATTTTTAGATACATATCAGGAAAGAGTGGAGATCAGTGATGAAGGGTGTTGCCAATAAAGACTGACACTTCCATTGGGAGAAGGCAAGGACTCTTGGAAAGGAGGAATTGCCAAGGTTCATGAGCTTGGAAAGGAGTTTCAGATTCTTACTACTCCTGACCCTTAGGGATGGGGATGATCAGGAAATTAATTCAGTAAGTGGGCCACAGCAGCTCCTCCATGTGGCAGAGAAAACATTGTGAAGATATAGCAAGTAACCACTATGGAAGACTGAGCAAAATGTATTCTGTGGTCTTGGCACCTTAAGTTGCCTCTTTGTAGTCAGATGACTTTTACATTTAAAGATGGATTCTCCTAATGGTTCTTTGTGGCTCATG